AAAAAAATTAGTACTAATACCTATACTAATAGTTCTACTTTATTAAGGTATATTGTATTACAATTTAGTTACATTTTAAATATATTTTAACTACCAATTTATGGATATAACTTGCATATTCTCTGCTGTTGAAGTTATATTCCATATATTTTAATAATATTCGATATTTTGCGAATGAAATTTACGACACTGTTTTACATCGCATGCGATAAAATATTTAACAAGAATTAAAACGCATCTTACTGAACGTTTTATTTTATTAACATATAACAACAAATCTACGTTCAATTTGATATTGTGCACTTGCATTTTAATCTAAAGTAAACATTAAAATAAAGTTATCCACAAAGCCATACCTTCAACAAGTTCAATAAAAACTTCAACCGAGAAGCATGCAAAACTTTTAAGAAACTTCTTAAAAATGCATAAAACTAGGAAAACATGGACTTAAGTGCTTTTGAGAGCAGCGTCTTTCTTGCAGTGTCGCCTGCACAGAGCGTATACCCTGTAGCATGTCCTGCCGCATCATCAATGAATTCTTTATTTACGTGCATATAAATTTATTTTTATTTCCTTGCCTGGTTCTCGCTATTTATTTCATTTTTTTTTCATTTTCATGGCACGTACAAATATATTTATAAATATTTTTACGTGTGTATATATTATAGCTGCAGCAATATATACATATAAATGAGTTGTTGTCATTGTGTAGATACTTTTATGCATATTTTAAGCAAGTCTGGAATAAAGTTTTAGCATTATTTAGTTTTTATTTTTGCTTGGAAACACCTTCAAGTATTTGCAAATACTTCCTTGAGACGACGGAATTGTATCAAATTAGCTTTGCTCTTGAAATTTTAACAGGAATTTTTTGTTTCACCTAACTAAGATTGACAGAGTAAAGTGCTTCATGTATTTTGGGGAAATTGATATACATAAACTACACTGCAATTTCTGGAAAACAAAAATAAGAGTAGGAAAATTGTTAAGTAAACTTAATACTTTTAAACTTATGCGCCAATAAAAAATTACTTGCGAAAAGCAAAGTTGAACCCTAAAAGTTTGTGCTGTTGTTGCATTTTTGCGAAAAAGGATATTGATTTCCTGCAGCTGCTTGGCATAAAATTAATTTTCACGAAATGCCGGAATATTGAAGGAAGAAATATATTAAAAGCTTAGCGTTGATTTTGCGAATAACTTAATATAACATATGTTCAAATTTTCATGGGAATATTGGTTGGTTTTTGGTATTATTAGAGACTTTGCTAATTACACTTTCACACTCAATTAGTTTAACATATAAGATGAATTATGCTGTTTCTTGTTACTTTGAGATGTGAATAATAGCAATTACAAAAACAGCTACGTCAATATATGATAGATATATTTTTAATAGTATAGGAACACAAATTCAGAATAATATATATTATTGTTATTAACAGGATTAACGTTTAACACAATCAGCAAAACAAATCAATCATTCTTCCAAAAATACATTAGGTAAACAGCTTAATTATTGTTCAAGTGATTAGTTTCCATTCAAACAGTATTAAATAATAAAATATATTAACTATTTTGATAAACAGATACACGCAATTTAATTCAAAAAAACAACTTAATTAGTTGAGGTGGAATTCAATATAAAATTAATTAAAATAAATATTTCATAAAGAGGTTTTTTCGAACAATAGTGAACTACAACAACAAAAAATTAATTTTATATATTATTTTAAATAATTGAATTTTTGACTGGCCATACAGCTGTTTCGAGTATTGCCAAGTACCCATCATCAGTGGTCTTGAAAATAATTCTTGTATTTAATTATTCGCAAATAATTATTTTTGAGACTGCAAGTACCAGGAATCGAACTCGGGCCCTGCCAAATGGACCCGAATTAAAATAAATATATTAATTTATGATTTCATGTAGTGGAAAATTTGTATGAATCCAAACAATATTCTAATATTATGTTTAGACAGCCAAATTTAATTAATTTCGTAAAAGTGATATTAAGTTAATTACAAAAGTGTTTATACTGCCCCAAATTAAGGAAATCATATGTTTTTTTGTTTACAAAGCGAATGTTAGAAATTACATGCTCCAAACACCTTTTGTATCTGGAAAAATTTAAAAGTTGGTTATTATAACTATTATGGACAGCATTCAGTAGTTTTATTAGCTTTAGTTGATTTAAGATCATTTTGTATGGAAAAAACAACTTAATTTTATGATATGAAGATCAAGATCAAGATTTTTGCTGCAAGTCGATTGTGATGATCAGAAAAATCACATTAACAAAAACCAACAATTTCGGTAAGTTTGGGACAGAAATCACTTTAACTAAACTACATTTAAGCGGAAAACCAAAACTTTTGTAGGATCCTATCGAAAGCTGTGTTTTACCTAATGAATGAGTGCCAATCTTTAGCCAGCTGAAAAATTATTAAAGCTAATTTTCTTGTCCATCTGACAGAGTTGTCGTCCTTAAAAATTAAGGACATAGCCAAGTTGACGGACTTGTAAAGTTAGGTCGCTTTTGTTTAAATAGAGAAGTCATGCCTGTTTTCTTCAACGTTGTCCATACCTTACCTATTTCAGTATTTATACATTTTGTTGTAGATCTCTTGGTTTGGGATATGAACACCGGATATGAATTTATTCGTGTAACATAACGAGTCATTATTTATACTAAAGTGGGTTTTGGTATGCAATACCGCCACTCCAAATGAAAACCACTCTATGCTCAGTTTTTGATTAAACACGAATTACATTATTAGAGAAATATCGGTAATTAATATAATAAGAAGTGTATTTCTATCAAATTTTTAATTATTTATATAAAATATATATAAAAGGGTTTTGAATTAAGTGCTTAATAAATAAATAAAATATTATTAGCTAATATTGTTAAATATTTAAAACTTTTAAGCAAATTAACAATATAAGTTAACATAATATGTATTTATAATTGTTTATAATATTTAATTAAAAAAACATGTTTATCTTATATTTTTTAAATATTCATATATATAACAAATATTTTTCATTTATAACTTCAACAGGAAACGAGAGCAATTGACAATTTTGTCGTTCCACCCACAACGGGGACCAACCAAAATATACAGCTGCCCCCAACACCACAAAGACCAGCGCATGCAAAGGAATACCATTTTCTTGATATTGAATTAAAATATGGATTTCTACAGGTACGTGCTCTTCATATGCAAACGAGTATAAGCAAGGTATATAAATATATGATGATACATAAGAAAATGTGTGCATTTATGTTTATATACGGAATATAAATTTTTGTTGTGAATTTGTATTTGGAAAATTTTTTACATTTTTTTAAGACCCCAGTAAGTATCATTAGGTTTTATTATAATTTGACTCTAATGTATGCGTAAATGAGTTTAAGTATTAGTATATACACAATTTTATAGCATATGTGATATGCATATATAATGTAAATGATTTAATTCCGTGAAAGTCAAGCTTCTAACAATTGAAGACATACACGATTTTTGTTAAGAATAATCCATCTTATAGAACAAAATTTAGAACACGCATCAAATTTTTATGACCTGAATAGCTGAGTGTTTCGTTGTTTATGGTATTTTGGATTTAATTAAGCACTTTTAAATTGTCTACTAAATTCTAACACCAGTCGATGTTTTGAGAAAGATTTAAAAATAATTATTACAGTTTGGAAGAGTTTTTTGGCTGCACACAAAAAGATTATCTTAAAAGCACATTGGTGATAGTGTTTCTATTTATTTCAAAGATAAGAAAATAAATTAAATGGAAAGAATTTTATGTGTTAACCAAAAAATAATATTAATTGGGATCAAATCATAAATAAATAATAAAGGCATTTTTAAATAAATTCAATATATTTTTAATATGTTATGGTACACTTAGGAGTTAAAGAAATTTATATATATATGAATTGTATTAATTTAGTAGTATTAAAAATTTCAATTTAAAATAATTTTATATTATTTTTATCATCCATAATGTGTTGAATAACATATTAACTAAATTTCAGATTATATTAATTGACTATTGAAATACGTAGTAGCATAGTTCAGTTGTTGTATGGGCTCTAATATTTATTGGCAACAAATGTTAATATCTTTCTTAAGTAACTAAAGGATTTCTTTCACTTCAGCTATATCCAAAAAACCCTGAATGGTTTTTATGTCGATGTTTGGTCACTCTCATTCGTGATTCAATACTTTGAACCACTTGCTGTACTGTAAAAGTCGAGCTTTCTTCAAGAATGTGTAAGCATATTTCTATGTCTTTTATGCATAGTCTGCATTTGATATATGACAGTTTTAACCGAACTTTATGCTTGTTCAAAAAGTGTTAACCAGTTATCTGCTGATTTTATTTTGTAAAGAAGAACTTGATGCAACTGGATGTTCACTCGTTAGATCATTTGTGTTTGGCATGGCTATTATAGTTTAATTTAGCTAGGCCTTTGAAGTGATTTTTACTGACACTCAGAATTGGTTTCGGCCCATGTGGTTGCCTTGAGATAGATTCTTTAGCAAATTTGTTCGCCACCTCATCGAGAACACTGTATGTAGATATCCAGAGTAAATTCACTTAAATTCCAGTATAGAGATCGATAGATATTTGATTCTCTAAGTTGTAGATTCTTGAGCACGAACCCTGTTTAGTATTGTAGCCATCTGTGCACGAGACAATGTCAACAATAATGGTATTGATACTGTTCTCTACCACCTTCTGTCTAATATTATGGTGATGTTTTTCCTGTTGTTCATGTATTTTAGAAGCATTTGGGTAAGAAACATCTTGAAGTCTTTAGAATGTTGTAATGTGGCCAACAAAACCTGTATCTTTTGTAATCACAACTTTTTTGTTTAGTATACCTTTGTAATATAGCCTGTATGTGCTTATTGATGGTTTTATCTGCACATTGTTGCCATAATAAGTAAGTCTTATTTTATGGACTTTTACTTATATATAATAAGGTATAATAAAGTAAAGGAATAATAAAAAGATACATGTTACATAAATAGATAATTTAGTGATTATATATCATTGGAGGTGCAAAATTAACAGAAGGTGAAATAGAAAAAGAGTAGTAACGATAATAATAATATATAATAATATAAAATTGATTTTAAGTGTTTTAAGTCACAAAATCAAGTTTTTCTGATTGATTCTGAATTCTGATTGATTATCATAGGGACTTTTATTTCTTTGTGAATGTTGTTATTCTGATATAACATGTGATTTCCCTTAACATATATAAGTAAATTCTTTGCAGAATTTTTATATTTGATGCACTTACATTATTACACAATTGAAGACCATATCCCCAAACTGCTTAATGATGTTCTTATATAAAAGAACATCTTACTCTATGCTGAAACAGATTGTTAATTGAAAAGCTAGTACAGCTGAATATCTTGAAGTTAAATTTAGACTTGTCTTGTTTATATGTGTTTTTGTCATGTTAATCTCCTAACTAAAACTAAGCAAACGTTGTTTTGAACCACCTAAAACTTTTCCATGACAACAGAGCATTATTGTGTCGTAAGGAAAAGTCCAAATGGCAACAAAATTAATAGAAATGTCGCATATAAATAAAAAATATAAAATGAAACCACGGATGATATGTTGCAAAACATCATATTTATAGTTGCTACTTTTTATAGTTAGAATTCTTAGAATTTGTATTTATCTACGAGTATGTATTAGTAACAAATAACTGCATCAAATTTTCTTTCAAACAGCTTTTTTATTTTTTAATAATAATGACAATAAAAAATTATTTTTTAAAATAAATGTCTATATATAAAAGCATTAATGTGGAATTCTACTTTCTACAAAGCCAAAACAAAAATATTTATTTCTAAGTAATAGCTACACCCCCATAAATTGAAGTTTCTAATGGTAACTAGTACTTTACCATTTCCACATCAAAATAATCTAAGAGCAGTACATTCTTTCTTTATTACTTATATATAATTCTTTCCCACACAAAAAAAACATATAAAACAAATGTAATGATATTATACATATTTCAACTAAAATTAATGTTAGCATTCATTATTACCACTCATTACGAATAATAAACATTAATAATATAAAGCAAAATGTCTCCATTCTTAACTAATTGAAATGTTATCCCTCTGTACTATGTAACCAATTGTATAAATGCTAAATTTAACTATATTTATTTCACGCTTATACTTCAATGTATTTTTAGTTAGTCGAGGCTTTATCCTATTTACACTATTCTGGTCACGTAATTCATCGCAATGTGTGTCCATCATCAATTTTAGTAACCAAGCGAGGTACCTGGAAACTAGCTGGTCTGGAATTTATTGGTAAGTATATCTGAATAGAACAATTGTTCCGAAAACAGATACAAGTGTTACAAAAAAAACAATTCCATCTTTAAGTAACTAAAACAACTGAAGAAAAGCAACACCACAGGAAAAACTTTTTAAACTTGAAATTTTATGAAGTAAATAGCAAAATATCTTCGGGAAATGTTAAAGATATTGTAATTATATTAATAATTTTAAATACGAACCCAATAAATAGTTTTATAATTGCTTTGCTTAAGGAAATATTTTGAAGTTGATTAAATTAAATTTATATTATATTTTCTTATTTTTTGTTATAGAAAGAATGAATGAGACTGATTTAAATGATTCGATACCTTGTCAACCATGGAGTAGCAGAGTTTCAAAAATGGCACAACCAAACTTAGATTTTATGGGTAAGTTGTGGAATGAAATTAATATTTGTCTAAAAAATTTTTAAGTTTCAATTAATACTTATAATACCAATAATAATAAAAGTCATTATTACACAAAAAATTATTATTTCAAAAATTTACGTATAACAATATTGCAATTAATTAAATTAAGTAGCTTCGATAATCTTGAATCATTTTAGAAGCACTCAATAGTAAATATTAGTGGTTATGACCTTTACTATTTTTTATCATTTGTCATTACTGACCATTAACATTACCATTACCGAAGTGAATAATAGTTCTACTAATTGGATTGAGAATAACGTTAATTTAGCAAAATGACTAGATAAACTACATAAAACCTTTAATTTGCTGTTGGTTGTGCTTTATTCCAAACTACATCACGTTAACTATTGTTATGATATTTGTCATGCACTTAAGAGTCATAACCTCACAAGTGCACTTGATGCAAATAGAAATTAAAATAAGAAGATAATCATAATTATTAAATATAATATAATCTAATGCAATCGCACGTGGAAGAGAAAGACCGTCGTAAATATTCTTTTGACTCTTTTTTTGGAATTGCATTTCTGCAAAACTAATTTTATTTTATTTATTAATAATTACATATAATATTTAATTAATGTGTAGCAATTAATTTATTCTAAAAAGGTTCGAACAGCAATGAAGAAACAATAACAAAAATTTGATTAATTTATTGCAATTTGGCTGAACACACAACACTGTTTCAAGTATTGCCAAGTATTTACCATCAGTGATCTTAGAAAATATTCGAATTTTTATTTAATTAGTTTATAGGTCCGTATATTATATGTTGGTCTGCTAGTGCAGGCTTAGAATTCATGCCTATCAAATTAGAAAAGACTGCAGAAAAAAAAAAAAAACTTTAAAAATTTAAAGTCCAACAAATTATTCACAGAGTTAAACTATGGTAAATAAAAAATTCCTTTGAATTATATTTCCTAAAAATCACTGATGATGGGTTCTTGACAATGCTCGCAACAGCATTGTATGGTCAGCATAATTGCTATAAATTAATGAAATTTTTGTTGTTGCTTCTTCATCACATTTCGAACATTTCTAGTTTCTTTTCGTCAAAAGACACGTCACATTTGACAAAAAAAAATTATTTCAATTTATCCTTTTTTTTTATTTAAAGTATTAATGTCAATACAAATTGGTTTTTTTTCCATGGTTTTATATTGCTTTTTCCTCAATTAGAAATTGTTTTAAAATATCTCCTTTTTAATTAATTGAGCAAGAATTAAATTTCTTTAGTGTATATTTTAGAGCAGCATACTATTCATATATTTGTCCTATATATCCTTCCGTCGTATTATATTTCGATATTTGTTTAATACCACATTCTTATTATAAAGAAATTATTAGTTCTTTTATTATTAGTTCTTATCCCCTAAATTTGTAGAGTTTATTAATTTGTGTGTACTCCTATGAAACAAATATTCGTTTACTGAATATGACAGTAACTAAGCTTATTACATGGGTTTAGCTTAATCGATACGTGCAATGTAACCTATATGGAGTTTCAAGTCAAAAATTTAATATACTTTTATTTTATTCACCACAATATTAATGTTATAATATATTTAACTCAATAAAACAAAAACTTCAAAATTCATAAGTAATGCATTTTAGTATATCTTATAAATCTAGTATTATATTAAATAAGTTTTCTCATTTCTAACAAATAAAACACACATTTATATTAAATTACTTAAATAATGTTATTAAATTTATTTATTTCACAATGTAGCACCAGAAACACAAATAACCTCAAAATGCAGTTTACTGAGTGATATGTTCTCCTTGGGTTTGGTTATTTGTGCTGTTTTCAATAATGGACGACCAATTATACAAGCTGGAAATTCAGCATCCAATTATATGAAACAACTAGAAACGGTAAGTTTCTAAAATATTAAAATATTTAATAGATAATATAGTAAGATATGTGACTTGTGTTAAACTAATGCCAATTTCAACAAGTTTTATGAGTAATAATGCGGTAGATGAACATAAGTATTTCAGTCTTTTTAACCACAATCATGTTTGCATCAACATTTTAAATACAGTGAGGTAATATTTTAAATGATTAAAGTTTTGGTAGTTTTTTTTATTGTTTTAAATTTAAATAAAAGTTCGTAGAAATTACTTAGCTTTCAAAAATAAATTCTTCCAAATCAGCAAAATGTATCAAGTTTTGGAATCACTCATTTTCTTCATATTGCATTAAGGCTTATTCCATATTATTTAATAATCCATATAAACTTAAAAAAAAAAAATTAATAAGAATAAAACATTAAAAACATCATATACTCTTATCTGGATTTATCACTAGAGTAAACTGTCATGTAAAACTAATAACAATGGTTTTAAGTAGAGAAATAATTAAATTAAGCTGTTGATGTCTTTTAAAATCAATTACAGTGGATTTAATATGAACTCATGAATTTTGTTAAATTAATTTTTAGTAAATACTGTCACTAAACATGAATAAAACGATTTAATAAAAATGACATCCTCTTTATTTTTTCTTCTTTTATCTTTATATATATGCTATTGCCTATCGTGCCATCATCATGCACCCACCATGACAACCACAAAAATGTGTTTTAAATAAAAATTTCAACATTAATAACGACGGCTACAAAAACCGTAAACCAAAAACCAATGCATGCAGTTGGATGAATCCGTACAGAAAATGCTACCAAGAGTGCCAGTGCCATTGCAAGAAGCGACTTCACGTTTAGTCAGTCGTGATCCCACCGCAAGACCGCCAGCGCAACTATTACAATTGATTAAGTACTTTGTGTAAGTAATTTTCTAATAGCAAATAACAAGAGTAAAAGCAAAACCAACAACAATAAGATATAATACAAGCAACAGACAACAGACAATAGAATCAACAGCAACATCAACAACAACAGCAACAGCAACAGCAACAACACTTACATTAACAATGAAAACCGCAATGGCAATGGCAAATGTCTGAGATAAGATAAAATTGCAAAAACCTAAAATGTTAGTACGTTTCCTTTGGCTTTTAAGATTCAACACGTTGCACGCAGGTGTCAAAGGGAATGATGTAGCACGTCAGAGGCGTCATGCCTGCCTAATCGGTATAACGTGATAATAGCCGTAAAGGAAAACTTTCAATTCAACTTTAATATATTAGTTTGCAATATGGATAGAAAGCACTAAGCACTAAAACGATTGAGCATATCGCAGCATGACCCAATTCCTTGTATCAATTTGCCTTAACCGACGTTGTCGTTATAAATTGGTTCTTACGCTATACGCTATACGTCATACGACATGGCCTTTGCTTTGTATTTAACGATTTACATTTTCTATATTTTTGTTGGCTGGTTAAGTTGAAGTTAAGGTTTTATTGACAAACAATTTTTTGTTCTGTTGAACTGAATTTCATATGCCATCTTTTTGTTTATTTATTTTCACATTTTTTTTTCCTTCACAGTTACGGTTTAGGACTACAGGCGAATCCTTTCAATCCTTAACGCACTTAAGCGTTGTTTATCTTGCGTTGACTTTAAATAGTGTTTGCTTAGCTAACAACAACGATAACAATAACAAAATTCAAAGTTGGATTTACTGTTAGTAAAGTACGATCAGACAGTCGACATTACTTGAAACTCGGCACAGATATCCTAACATTGAAATATAAAAATAAGGATGCACTACACACGCACCCACACCCGCACTCGCACTCGCACCCGCACCCGCACCCGCACAATAGTACAAGAAAATGTAAAGGAAGTAAATATTTACGCTTTCCATCTTGTGGAAGATTAAACTCACTTTGGATATAATTTAAATGTTGTCAACATTTTACTTTGCTCTTGAAATAGGATATTCTACGTTTACGTAAAGGTTAAGTATATTGTCCTAGAGGTTTGTGTAGGATTTCATTTTAGAATGACACTGTAGACGCGCAATGGGAAATTATTGCAATGCAGAAAATAGAGAAACAATTTGCAAAATTTAATAAAAAATGTATTAACTTCTGTTACTGCACAATTTACAATATAAAAGCATTTTGCATGCAATATTATTTTGCTGAAAAACGATTTGATTAATTTGATTTGATGTTACAACACTCAGAAATCTAATCAAGATTTTTATAAAACGTATTTTCCTTATTTTTTGCAACTGGAAAATATGTGTCTAGGTATATTTATTAAAAATAAAATTGTATTCTTTGTTGCATTGTTGACAAACGAAAAAATATACAATACAGTTTTAGTGTACTTCGTTGGCAATACATGCCATCCTTTTGTTGATTTTAATTTATAAAAATTTAGAGTTCTATAAATCTATATAGGTATACATTTCAATATAACTATTGTTATTGTATCTACATCAAAAAAAATGCTGTTTGTATTAGTTATAAATAAATTCTAAATGCAATATAGATGATAGAATAAAGAGGATGACGTAGGTATAGTTTTAGTAATATTAATTTAGGTTAAATCATGATCCTGAGGAGAGTCGAAATATAGGATATAATAAAAAATATTAAACGTTGAATTATTTAACAAAAAGGGACCTATTGCCATATTAAAAAATATAAATAAAATCTAAATGGATAAGTTAGAAATAAAAAACAGATGCTTCACAGATAGTCCGCGTGATGGTTAAAAATTGTCCGCCTTGTAGTTTATCCACTGAGAGTTCACTTATTAGAAAATGAGTACAAAATCAATTTCAAGTATTTATACACCTATAATATAGAGTATATAATGTACCTAAGCACTTATAAAATTAATTATATGAATAAAGCATACAAAACTAATCATATAGTTAATTATTCTTAAACTTTGTCGTTCCTACTAAAAACAAAAATAGCATAGTGGTCCTTGGTCGAAAAATAAAAGGTTGCGAACATCACCTAACATACGTAGAATATTAAAATAATTGGTGTGGTGTATTGTCCACGATTAGCTAAAGTTCTGTTAAATCATAAGAATATACTACAATGTTTTGATGTAGTTAGTAATCCAAACACAACAAGAAAATTGCAATAATGACATTATTTTATAGTAAAATAAATTGTTGCAAGTTAAACATATTTTTTTGCTTAAATTCTTTTCAAAAATCATGAGTTGACAAGTCTTTCAAGATTAATATTTCGAGTTATTATTGGCATCAGAAATTCAAGTTCAAAATACTCAAATTTATATAAAGGATTAAAAATTAATTACTACAAATTAGTATTACTAATATTAATGGAATGTATCAATATAAAAACAGCTTTTATCAAAAATGTAAACACTTGTCATAAATTATTAGAGATTTATTAAAAATGACTTCATTAGTTATTTTTCAGTTAATCAGATTCAACCATTATATGAAAAAAAAAATATTGATAGTCCTAAAAGAATGTGTAGTATGTATTTTTAATATATTCAGTAGAATCCGGATATGCGGTAGACTCCAGCATATTCGGGGAAAACTAATATTAAGGATTTACATCCACATTACGAATGGATTATGG